AACCGAGCATAAGGAGCTATTTGTGATTCAATGGTTTTATATTACGGATGAGTTTTTGCAAAGTGCACTTGAAGAGCAATATGTAGTAAATTATTGTTAGACTATCGATATTATTCAGGCAAATAACTGCTGTAGGATCGCGCGACTCGTTTCTGAACGTTTCCTTCTACTAGCGATTGTCCCGAGAATTTTTATTGCGGATCAGCGTATTCAAGGGATTTTCTTCGCACTTGATTTACTGCGAGATACAGAACCTGCACACACCAAGCGTGGTTTTATACCCCAGGTTGAATAATAGTAAAAGCGCGGCGTCGTAAAACTGCAATCAAATAATGCATTATCGTAAATATAAGGCTGTATAATGTCCGTGTAAAATTCTGATGGTTTATATATCTCGTCCACGGTATCTATGGTCCAGCAACAATGCATCATCTGCAAATGGCGCACATCGCGGCGTAAAATAACGATATCAACTACAACCGGAAATTTTTAAAACGCGTATACTCTTTTACGCAGACATTGTGACAAATTTCCATAATACTTTGGTTAAGCAAATCTATTTTATTTTCGCGCAGTATGATAAAATTTTGTAAGCGTCAATGTTCGTTAGCATAATTTATTTGCTTTAATCTACATCTATAAAGTGATATATTTCTTATTTGTATCATTAATAGCAAGACAGATCTCTAAAAGATTAAAAAATTAAAGGGTAATTTTTTTTTTTAATATATACACAAGGAAATGCGATAAGTGATATATATATTATTATTATTCCCCTATCGGTTCGTCCATTCGCTCTCTTGGTCCACAACCATGAAATGCAAGAGTTTCAGGATATTTTTACTTTTTTTATGTCAACGGCTATCGACCAAGAGAGCGAATGGATGAACCGATAGGGGAATAATGCGACATAACGTATTGGAAAGAGAGAAGGGATACGAGTAAAAAAGAGAGCGGAGAAATAGCGTTTCTACGATACAGTCTACTTTTCCCGGCAAATGAAAAGCAAACAGAAAAATCGCGTCTTACCTCGATTCTATGACGTTCCATCGAATATGCTCGGTTCGCCTTTTTTTATTCCGTTCTGCCTTCCTTTTTACTCTTTGCTCACAATTCTCAGGACACCTTGCGCTATTCTTCCCACGAATGCAATAAGCGCTACAGAGAGAAGAGAAGGGAAAAACGAGAGTGTGAGAGGCACTGTCTCGGAGCGAATACCTCGAGAGAACTCTATGTTCTTCCGGTGACGCTCAATTATTACTCGTGCACGGACCAGGTCAATCTCGGACTACTTTAAATTACTTACTCGGCGTGATATTCCAGAGGGAAGAGAAACTTCGCCGCGACTCTCCTCGGGGAAATTTCGTACGACAGATCGAAAACTAATTCGTCGCGCGAGGATCAAAACGAGAGCGGAATGTTGTAGGCGATAAACGAAACTTAATGCAACGAGATAGTAGAAATGTGAGACATAGGAAAAGGAGCTCGAGCTATTATTTTTTGAACAGATGTTATGGAATCGCAAATTAGGCGATACGGCTGTAAAATGTTGCGAACACAAGGAAAACATTGAACGAGAGAAAAATCGATCCTTTATCAATCTACGACCCAGCATCCCGTTATGCGTCGACTAGAATAGCGTGCGATACGACGATTTGGCGTACAAAACAAGCGGAGAAAATTGCCAGTTAGCTGAAAATTCGATTTTTCAGAGCCAAAACTGATCGATCTACAGAACGCGATGCGGTGACACTAACGGAAAATGGCGGAAAAAGGAAAATAAGGAGAAAGAGAGAGAGAGAGAGGTGCGATAGAATGGTTAGAGAGCTCAGCGTAGGAAATGAGATCTATAAGTGAACGAACTGGACGAGCGTGAGTGCATAGCCGAAATGCAATTTTCATCCAACTGCAGCTGTCCGCTCTTGCATCGCAACGACTACAGCTGCCGACCAATTTTCTCCGTTCTCTCTTCCCTCCTCATTTATCTCAGTTTTTTTCGCACCGCGTCACCAATTTCACGATATGTTTACCGGATTGATTGCATTCGCGTAGACAAATAATTCGATATTACGATAAAACAATTTGCGAGCTTGATGTTACAAACGGCATTACAACACGTAGCGCTGCACAAAAATGGCGAAATGTACAAAGAACAGAAGTTCAATTTATCAGTTCGCTGCAGATGATTGCCCGATGATGAATTGCGTGACGCATCGCAAAAATACGCGTTGCAGCACTTTAAAACGAGAACTCGTTTATTTTTCCGATAGACGATTATTTTTTACGACGCAATGATCCTCGTTGCGCGATTCTCATGCTAGGTGGGATAACGAAATTCGCGAGATATACGTAGGGGGGAAAACGCGCAGACAAAAATTACAAAAGTACAGAACGATGGAAAATAGAGAGAGAAAAAGAGAGAGAGAAAGAAAGAGAGAGAAAGCAAAAAAAAAAAACGAAACAGAAAAAGCCAACTGGTTACCACTTCATCTCGAGCGCAGTCGAGCTGCGGCTAATTAATGCACTTTTGTCGAATTTGCTACAACCCTGCTCGTACTATGTACGTACGAGATGGAAAAAAAGGTTAACCTATAATGGTTGAGAAGTAGAGAGAAGTGCGTGTGATAATAAGATTGTATTGCGCTTATTATTCTTTTATAATATTCCGTATCCTCTGTCATGCTATGCACGGAAAAATAAAAGATTAAACAAGTAATGAAAGACTATGATAACAAAGAAATTATGATAACAATGATAACAAAGCAATTATTCAGAAGAGAGAGAAAGATGAGATGTAATAGTAAAATAATTCAATATAAATGTGCATTTATTCTGCATGACTTTTTTAATAATATTTTTCTATGGAAATGTGTGTATTATTCTATGGGAATCTGAAGCAGAAAACAAGCATTTGGCGAGTCGGTGAAAAAAATGCAAATCATGGATTTGCAATTATATTGTACACCGGCGACTTTATGCATTAATTTACCGTCGCCTATCTCCTAAAGATGAAAGAATTATTACAAAGTTACAAAAGATACGAAGCCGAAAGTTAATTAAAATTTTTCACAATAATGCTGAAATTTATAAATAAATCTTCTTAATTACTTTTTTTCCCCTTTTCATCGTGTAATATTTTCCATAAAAGTTATAAAGCCGTACTGAACACAAACGTGTATACACCGTGAGATGACACGTTCTTTCACAGAACAATATTCATATTCATGAATTCGTGTTTGATCTCTGTTCATCCGTGATTTTTATCAAAATTAATATATAAGTATAAAATGGAATAAACGGGAAATTTTCTACAAAATTTCTATCAGTAATAACAATCCTTTTTAAAATGATTAATTGTTACAGCGATGATCGATTGTTTAATAATTAAAAAAATACGACAAATTTAATTATTGTGACATTTTACACAGACAAGCATCTCAAATAGATATTTAATAGTTCTCTATATTTTTAGGAACATTGTGACAGAGATACATACTAGAAACATGCAAGTACACAGTTTATGCAGATGGCCCGACGATAAATCAATCGTCGATGTGAGAAACTGTCTTCGAGAAATATATGACTCAATGTATTGGCCACATACTAAGCAACAACACCGCAAGTTGACAGTTATCTGGCCCGCTGTTCAAACAACCACCAGACAAGTCCGGCGCCAATGCTCGAAGACTACTTTCCAGATAATTCTGCTTATTTTAGTAAACTGCATTTGCAACCTGAATATTTTTCTTGCGTATTAAAATATATAAAGAACTTTTTCGTAATATTGCGGCCTACTTTTTTAAGGTTTATTTTTAATTACGAGAGTTTACTGTATGTACACATACAGACACAAATTTCATTTATTTCAAAAGTTTGCGTAAAGGATACGATTTGATATTATATTTAAAATATTTTGCATATTCCTAATGTTATGCAAAATATTTTAGGATTTAGTATTAAAAGGATTTAGTTTTAAAAATATTCTTGTATAATATTAGATGCCTCTTAATAATATTTTTGATTTCTAATCCATTTTGAGAAGATACATAACGACTGTGTATAACTGGCTATATAAAGAGTATAATTTATCAGATTTATAATGCTGCGCTGACATGCTTGAGTTATTTAATTGGATGCTTTGGTTTAATGCATTGTCATAAATGCTGTATGCATAGCATATTAATTATTGTTAATTTTACTGACTCTGACAGTTTCGCATAGCTCAGTTATGTCGTTTATTATATATGTCCCCTGTTTTCGGTAAAAATAAGATCGACATGAAGGAATGTTATACTTGCGTATCGCAGTATTAATGTATATAGCAATTAAGTAAGATTTATGACAGTTTATGAAATGTGACGGATTATATTGCTTTAACTATAACAATATCAAAATTATAATGCTATCGTCCGCCAGTTGCGTGTTTATATCGCCGTTCACACATATTAATGTAAACTTTTACCTGTACAATTTGTTTATTTTATACATGGTTATCGCAACGAAAATATTTGGCAGGAAATGATAAATTAATGGCAATAAGATTTAATCAATTTTCTGGTGTGTAATGTTTAAAGCATACAAAAAACCAAGTTTATTCACAAACCAAGTATGATAAGAAGCATTCATTTTAGAAGTTCATAAGCAATTCGTGCGAATAATCAACTAAAGTTTTTGTTATATTAACAAACAAAGAATTTAAAGTTAAAAGATTTCTAACTATTTATTAAAATAATAAATATAAAATTTAAGATATATAATTTGTAAACATTTAAGTGTTGAAGGGATAATTTTACTAAATGTGATAATATATAATATATAATTAAGAAATTACGCTCTTCGAGACAATGAACCGCATTGTCGCATAACAAGATGAAACGAAGTCATATGCGGAGTAGATCTTTGAATTGTCAAGTAATTAAATGCCATTGTCCTCACGCAAGTTGACGAACGTCCATCTCAAGATTTTGTACCCCCAATGTAAGAAAGAGACATATACTTACCAGAGGGCCAACTGGTAATGGTGGACCGCAAGATTCGGTTGCGATGTGTCTTTGAGGAAGTTAGCAAAGTTGTAATGCATCTTGGCATTGTAGGGCAAAGACCGCAATCCCGCTCTGAAACAAGATGATTTGAGGTCAGACGGGACTCTCTCTCTCTCTCTTTCTCTCTCTCTCTCTCTCTCTCTCTCTCTCTCTCTCTCTCTCTCTCTCTCTCTCTCTCTCTCTCTCTCTCTCTCTCTCTCTCTCTCTCTCTCTCTCTCTCTCTCTCTCTCTCTCTCTCTCTCTCTCTCTCTCTCTCTCTCTCTCTCTCTCTCTCTCTCTCTCTCTCTCTCTCTCTGTCGATCTCGATACGACCCTGCCACCATCGTCATCCCGTATCTACGTTAGTTATGTTTTGCAACCCTATACATAGCCAATCGGCGCCTGGTGCCTGCACCAAGTTCGTGAATGTATACACTGGCACTATGCCAGCCTTCTTGTTTAAGCCGGAACTAAGCACTCGCCATAAATGTTCACGATATCTTCGCGTGACAAAATCATTTTTGTCGTAATTGCGAGACTCAGATTGCGTGCAACGATTCTTTAGATTTGCCATTACTACGAAAAGTTTATTTAAAGTTACACATGCACACTTTGTAACGTTATTATTGATCGACCAGAAGATTTCTCAAACGAATTAATTCAAGTTAACAAAACGTGTAATATGTAAAATAATTTTCGATTACGTACTTGATTAAAGTTTCTCTAGATGTCCAATCGTTATTTCGAAGAACCGTTCTGAAACAACCTAGAACAAGCAGGAGAACTACGCCTGCAGTGATCCAGCTTCTTCGTCGCGGCATAGCAGCCCAGCTCACTTGCATACCGTAAACGATCAAAATAATCCATCCAACGCTGTAAAATTACATAAAAAATTCATATCATTCGTTATAATAATCATTGCGATTGTGTTATAATTTGTAACGCTTTAATGAAGTTACCTCGGCGTATATAAAACTCGTTCCGCCACGACAAAACCCACGGTGACGAAAAGATTAGACGCAGGTAGGAACGGCAATACCAGGAACATCCAGCCAAGAATGAGAGGCGGATGCCTCTGTTGCTAGAAATAAAAGAAAAGAGATATAACGTAGTAGAAGACATTCACTGATAAATGCAAGATTAAAATCCTTGTTAAATTTAGCGCTTCTGTATCGAGATTTCTTCGAGAGCAAACTACTGCGTAAGTTTCATCATGCTGGATGAACATACTCGATTAAAGTTTATGTTATACTACGAGTTTATATTGCTTTTACATGAAACTCGCCATACTCCCAAAATTATGTTTAAATTGTGCACTTGCAAGTTTTAAATGTATAATGAGCAATGACTCAAAGCGCGATATATATATATTCTGGTTTATGATACGCTCTTATCCATAAACTCTAAAAGATAAATTCTAGAATACCGAAAAATATACTTTTACAGAAAAATGTAGATATGAATTAATCAAAATTATAAATGATAAAACGAAATTCTACGTAATGCTTTCAAACAACATTTAAACGTGTACAACCACATTCGCGAGGAAACAGAATGTTTTTACAATTGCTAGGAAGAGTATAAAATCCAACGACTAACGATAACAAGTAGCAGTTTTTGTCGAGAAGTGAAGAAAGAAATGATGAAAATTTTAGTGATCTTATCGTTTCTCCTGTGCTGGAGCTTTGTATCGCCTAATCCGCATCATGAAAAGTCAAATGACAAAAGTGTGGGTGAATCAAATCATATAAACGATGGAAGTGATACTCCGACTCTTGCAGGAGAGGAATATTCGAATGAAGCATCCAGTGGAAAAGATTGGAGAGGAGACCTTTTTAATTTTTTAAACTTGTTAAATCATAAGGTATGTTTAAATCCAAATATTAATAGAAACGCAATAAATAATGAATAATATTCTATAAATAAATTAAATAATATTCTAACCAAAGATCATTTAAAAAATAATTTCAAAATTTAAATTTTTTTTGTATGTTCCAATATGTGTTATAATAAGGAGGCAATCATAATATTATTTAAAGTATCTTAAAACAGTTTTATATACAATTTACAGATGTATATGTTAACGTATTTTGGATTTTAAAACATTTATCTCATACGGATTTTAAACGTAAAATTTCCGTTGTAGTTTTCCTGTTTTTGCTTAAAATAATATATTTTTTTTATATAGCAGATATCGCATTAATATTTTATTAATATATGTTTAAATATTGCATATAATAATTATTATAACACATAATATTTAAGGAAAAATAAATTTTTTATTAAAAATTCCGTATTTCCATATGTTAAAATTATTTAATTTATAAATATGCAGGATCTGGACAAGAATGACAAAATACATCAAACGGATAAAAAATCTTTGCTCAAGTTAATCAATGAGTTAATCAATGACAAACAAGTTATTCAAGGATCAAACTTTTTTAAAACTTTAATATCAAAAAATAAGTTATCCGATGATTTATTACTTGATATCGTTGCATGGGTTCAGAAAAACGTAGAGGCAGTCAAGAATCTCTTTACAAATAAAGATAATAATTTTATCAATGCTATTTTCAAAATAAAAGAATCTGCATCTGATGAAAAAATAGAAAAACATAGTGATTGTGCCAATAAATTATCCGATAATTCATTATTCGACAATATCATAGTATGGGTTCAGAAAAACATAGAGGCAATCAAGAATCTCTTTATGAATAAAGATAATAATCTTACTGCTGTTTTCAAAATAAAAGAATCTGCATCTGATGAAAAAATAGAGAAACATAGCGATCGTGCCAAAAGAGACTTAGAAACATCCTCTTCAAAACTTTTATGGGCCAATTCCCATAAAGGAGGTATATCCAAACATCTACTCAAATTAAACGACGGAAGCAAAGTGTTAAAATCTGAAAAAGCAAGTGTCGCTGAGTCTTTAAACGGTCGAGCTGCAATTTGCAAAATATTGGCCCAAGCGAAAGCAAAGGCGGCTAAAGCAGCGCAACAAAAAAATCTTTATGATAACGATGACTTTAGTAAATGGCTGTTGTCTGGGTCGTCATTTGATACAGATATTTTTAAACACCCTTTTCATCAATCGTTACATAACGCAAGAATAATAGACAATAACAAAAATAACGATTTTAAAACCGAAAATGCCGATAATCAGCATATATTTTTAGTATCTAAACCAATAAATCACAATAATCACCGTGAGGTAAAATATACGCTACCCGATTCTACAGCTATTGGCATTGACACTGATCGTTCGTATACAAAATTATTGCATAAATCAGAACATCAGGAGCATCTATCGCCTGAACATCTATCTGAACTGCAGAGTACCTCGGGAGAGGAGCACGGTCACGACACAAATGAAATGCTCCATAAACTTGCGGTATCACGTCACACGCACGGACTGTCATCCTACGAAGATGAAGAGGATACTGGGCTGCGACATACATCTTCATACGAACACGCACCGCATGGGCACTTCCGTATAACAAAAGATCAGGAAACAAGAAACAGTATACCAAAATGGAAATACGCAAAATGGACGCACATGGATTCGTCTGAAGCAGACGCATCTCGTGCATTTCACTCTGCAGAACCGTACGAATTCGAAACATCGGACGAAGGAGAAGAGTATGGAAGAAAGTTTATATTTAAAACATCATTTGAACCTGGAGAAGATGATGGAAAAATTTATATTGGGCATAGGAAAGGACATAAATTTTCAGAAAAAATAAATATTCCTGAAGATGAAGGAGATGAAACAAATTACGGTCATTTAACGGGTTCTTCATCTCAACATGACTCATTGATTGATTCACATCAGGAGAACAATATCAGAAGCAGAAATAAACAGAATCTGGATGGAATTCAACATTCTATTATCCATTCTACAACATCAATGGAAACGAAAGAGGAAATTGAAAACAAACAATCAGGAAACATATTAATAACGAAAATTTCCACGGGCAGAGCTACGCGGAAACCTGTGAACATCGATATCGAGCATTATCACTCCAGAGATCAAAGTGTTGCCGCCAACAGTGCGAAATCATTTTCATCGAGTTTTTCTAATGATAAAGACGGTAAACGTACAAATAACATGCTCGCGTCACCATCAGTCGATGGATCAGCTACAATTGAAACGAAAACTGAAAACGACTATAGCCTTCTAGAAAGGAGGCACTCTGTAATTGATAATGATGTGACGTCAACGGGGATTGAAATGGATTCCAGTGGGATTAAAAGTCATCCACCGGTCAGTTCATCGTTGGCTCATTCATCGTTATCTCACGCTCATACAAAAACACATCTGGAAAATCAGAAAGAGCATCATAGCATCAACGGATACGAAGGCTCTACTGCTAATATTGTCGCTTCCGAAACAAAGCATTTGATGGATCCAAAGACGATGGAAAATCAGAATAAAGATCATGATTCAAAAGCAAATCAGGAAATCATCGTCAATGTTGCATCCTCAACAGAAACAATGCCTTCAATTATAGACGAGCATCATCATAAAGCCGTATCGTCAAACGAACAAATCTCGGATGAAAAAGTCTCACATGAAGAAAATTACATAAAAGCCAGAAGAAAATACATGGATTTGAAGAAAAAATATATGGATCATGCGCGATCAATAAAAGTGATCAATATCGATGATAATAGTGCTGAAGTATTGCTACCAGAATTTCCGATTTATAAACACAGAAAGAATCATGTGCTTCATGATGTTAATGATTATGATTTTGATGATCAAGAAATGAGTGATAATGAAAAAATTGAATCTGCTAAAGATTTAAAGAGAATACAAATTGATTACGATAATTCAGAAGACAAAGAAGAGAAATTTACTAATGATGTTAAAGTATCAAAAGAATCGCAAATGATTACTTCTAATGAACATTTGTCTCACGATCGGCATAGCCAACATGAAAAGGATGATAAACTTAACCATTATCGTAGCCACCATAATAAACAAAATCACCATAAGAATAATAACGAATACAATCACCATAATACCTATAATCAACATCATAGTCAAAATAATCACCATATTTTAGATCAAATGGCTAATAGCATAAAATTATCAACTGCATCAGATGCAACTGAATTTGATACTTGGAATAAATATATCTATTTTATTGAAGGACAAGAACGAAGAAATAATGAATCAAATGCATCATTTGAATCTTCGACATCTGCTATCAAAAAAGGCAAAAAGCAAAATAATGTTAAACATGAAAGATTATTATTAAATACAAGAGGAAGAAAATACATTTCAGATGAGGATAAACATCGTTATCTAAAAAAGCATACGAATCTGTCTGATCCAATTATGCATTCTATAGAAATTAATAAAATAACGTCAACTAACAATAACGAAGTAGAAACAAAAAGCGAGGATAATACAAATAATAGGAGCAAAGTTATTACATATGAAGAAAATCTAATTTCTGACGGTTCTACGATCGATACTACATCACATACAAAACATAGCAATAAAAAAATAAGTAATAATAATAATTATTATTCTCAGGTCTCACGGGAGTCATTAAAGAACCCTCGCGCAAATGTTCAGACAGGAACGAAACGTATTTATGATACTTATGGAGGAAACGCAAATGTTGATATTAATACAAAGCAGGCTGCAAATGCGGCGCAGTTCATTGAATCTAAAAATAATCTTCAATCTGCATCATCGAAAACATCTGAATCAGATAATACTAAAAAGATTGTAGCTATAGAACAGGCATCAGATGAAAAAATATCCTCCAGTAGTATAATAAATAATTATCAAGATTATGATGATAATATATCTGATTTTTTTAAGTTAAATGCTAAATCACAAAAGAATACAAATCGTCATTCAAATAAAAAATTAAAAAATACCCACGAAATCAATGCAAATGTGGAAACATTGACAAAAGCTTCATTGAGTGATACGATAGATAAATCTCAATCTAATATACAAAATGCAATAGCTTCTTCTAAATCATCTGCGAAATCACAGATTGATTCTTGGGATTATTGGAATAATAAAAAATTTAATGCAAATGCAAAAGCATCAGCGGATACAACTATTTCTGTTGATGTAGAAAATAAACGAAAGTCCGAATTGGGAAACACATCAATATTTTCTAAATTATCTGTGCAATCCGAAAAAGAGTCCGAAAGATATTTAAATGACTTGAAGAATACTGCAATAAGTACTGCTAAATCAGAAGCATTATCAAAGGCTGCCAATAAATCTTCTATCGAATTAAAAATGAAATTGGAGCAAAAGTCGAACCATTTTAATAATGTTCAGAAAGATGCTAATATAAAGATGTCATCAACAGCGAAATCCGATAATGTAAAAAATGAATGGTTATTTTCGCCTTCCAGAATGTTTCAATCGAAAATTCATTTAACTGATAATAAAGATAATAAAACAAATTCTATTTCAAAAGCATCAGAATCAATGTTGCCCAATATTATAGAAGATAACAATCGATCTCATTTAGAAAAATCATTCTCTTCGTCATCTGTTCTATCCTCGGAAAAGTCACAAACAGAACATGAACATGATAATTTACAGAAAAACGAAATAAATGTTAACATTGCAGAAATATCAAAACAATCAATAGCTTTCAATAATAATGATAATGGACATAGGTCTAATTTATCAAAATCATCATTGCCTTCTAAATGGTTAAAAGAAAGACATATAAAAAATAAGCATTATTCGAACAATATAAAAGTAAACCACAAAGACAACATCGGCAAAAAAACAGAAATAGGAGACATTTCTGATATTGTTAGAAATTCCCATCAACAAGAGTCAATAAATTCGTTATCATCGTCTTCTTCGTCCACAAAATCACAAATATTAAATAAAAATACAAAGACAATCATAACTTCTAACGATGTTTCTGATATGGATGAGCATAATTTATTGCATGCGTCATCATCATCACAAACTGCAAATAAAAACAATTTAAATGTTCAAAAAGACGATCCACAAACTGCTAATACTGCAACATTAACAATATCGGCACTCACCAACAATGATAAGGATAGACGAGAAGATAACATATTAAAAACAAAGTGGCTTACTGATCTAAAAAATAAGAATAATATTGAGAAATTCGCAAATGATAAAAGTATTGAAAAAGACGAAATTATTAAATCAAAATTAGAAACTGCATTAAATGCAATAACATCGGAAAAGACAGTAACTTCCACTGATATTGAGAATGTAATGAAAGCGTCATCATCAAGTAATTCAAAAGCAAAGTCGTGGATACATAATAAAAATGATTCAAATCAACTAAGAGAAGGGAAAATTATAATCAATAATTTAGAAGCATCAAAGCTCTCACACAATATTAAAAATAATCATAAAAATAAATTGCTAGCATTATCTTTATCTGATTCATATAGTAGATC